TTTTTTCAGCCGCCTGCTTGTCAGGTTAAAAATATCAATGCATTTAAAATTCCCCTCCTGATGGCCTCTTTTAAATGTTACATATAATTTAACATTGCATCATGCAGTATTGATAAAATCCTTTCTTTCTGTTAAATTTGTTATTTGGAATGTATTCTTTTGGTAGTAATTCTACCAAATCACGCTCGTGATAAGAGGAAAAACATCTTTCTCTATTTCTCTACCGGGCTCATAACTTACCATCTCTCCTATTTTATTATTGGAAGTGCTTGTACCGATAAAAATCGCACATTTTCAAGTTCTTCACGCCAATGGATTAATGAATAATAACTTATTTTATTTTCAGCCGTGCTAGTATAGCAGTGAATTGCTTGGATCGTCTACATCAGACTAAGAAGAGAGGCCTTGTTCCCTGCAGTCTGTACCTCAGCCGTATCGTCTCTAAGGTACTTACGCTGTACACTACGTCCACCAGTACTGAGGTGACTTAAATAAAACTGATCACCCTGATTGTGTATAACACGCATTGAATCTCTCCCAAATGAACTTTGGTGCTTTGGACGTAAATAGATTTAAATTTGGTTGAAATTAATGTGCGTTTCCTTTGATGCGATTGGTTATTTTTAAGCGACACAGGAAACTGTGGTTGCTTCGTTTAATGGCAAATTAAGGCAAATGCATTGTGCGCTACGTCCACCAGTTCTGAGGTAGCCAACCTGTTGCTTTACTCTCCCCCCCTCGAGTCCGTTTCTCCTTGTGGGGGGGAGAGTACGGCTACACGTAGGCTAGTACTGAGGTGACGTATATAAAGCTGAGAAATCTGATCGTGTGTAACACCCATTGAATCTCTCGCAAATGCTCTGTGTTCTGTACTTGCTTTGGTCCTAAAAGAATTTATATTTGGTTGAAATCAATGTTTTCTTTGACGTGATCGCTTATTTTTAAGTGACACAGGAAGCTGTAGTTACTTCTTATAATAACAATCAAGGCAAGTACATTGGAAACCCTTGTAAGCATTCAAAACCTGTGACGCTTGAAACAGAATTGTTACATTTAACCAAAACAAGCAACCTCATTCAAGTTTTGAAGATGGAAAGAGTATCTTACATTTCACGCACGCCACCATCATTGGATCAGTCTGGGCCAAGATAGATGGTACATTTCAAGGAAAAATATATGTTCTTTGACGTCTAAAAAAAACCTTTTTTACCACAATCGGCAGTCTGCACTCTAATCGACAACGATATTCGTCCTCACAGTGGTCAAACTTTCTTGCGGACTCACTCGGCTGCGCCTCATGAGTGCACATTTAGATCCAATTTTCCAACGTGTTATCAGAAACTGGAGCAAAAGTTCCACAACTCCTAAGAGAACCCAAGTTTGCTTAATGAAAGAAATTGTAACAACGCCTACAATGCTCCGGTAATTGATGTTATTTCTCTTATCAGGCTCACACGCTGGAGCCCAAAGTTAAAGACAAACTGCACCGGGACAGGCTCAAGGCTTGTTTAAACAAAGTAAGCTTTGCTGAGATTAACTCTACTTGCCATCGATATAAAATTGTTATTCATTCCAGTGTGTTCTTTCAAGAATTGCTCTGCATGATCTTACAAGGGAAAGTAGGCGAAGAAAATGTTCAAAATTCCTGTAAAGTTCATTCGCTCGTGTATTCATTTAGAGTCCGAGATGTCATGGAATTGAATTACGCGTGTACCAAAACTGTGTACTAACCTTTAACTTCCATGATCTTATTAGTAATTCTCCTTACTGTCTGTCATATAGTTCTCGTGATGTTAGTTTGGAGAATTTGGTATTGGATCAACTAATAATCCCCTTATTAATATTTTTCTGTATTCTCATCGTTTGTCTGCTTGATATTGTATTGATATGGTAAGGAGAAATTCTGTCTTGGTCACTCATGGGAGTTGGTAATTTAGTGTTAACAACTGGGTTGAAAACGTAAATTAGCCACCGTAAAGGGTAAAAAAGCTGACGTTTCGAGCGTTAGCCCTTCGTCAGAGCGATTAGAGGAATTGTGGGTTGTGTGTGGATTTATATGTAGGAAGTGGAGCTACGCCATTGGTGGGAATGTGGTGACGAGAAAACAGGAATAAATTAGTTGAATGAAAAGCGCTCGTTGATTCCGTGGGGATTAAGGGTGCCGATTTGGAATATAAATTTTTGTTCTAGTGTTTTACGGCTTTCCGAACTGCCTAGATGTAAGGAAAGGCCGCAAACTGCCATATGCTGTTTAGAATGATTAGGAAGATTAAAGTGTCTAGCGACTGGTTTGGAGTTAAGGAGTTAACTACTTATCTCTAATAAGCTTACCAGATGTCGTCACTCCTCTGCCCACAACACCGTCCAACCACTTAGTATTTAGTACAAATTTAATTGTTTTATTTTTTTCCAGGAGATTGACGATCCCCTATTCTCATCCCTACGAGACACACAGGTAATCTTTACAATGATCTGCTCATATATGGAAGAGTTTATGGCACCCTTCATAATTCTTCTGTGAACTGCATGTGTAATTCATGTTGTGGAGCGTCGGACTGCCTTGCGGGAGGTTGAGCGTTCGAGCCCCCGACCGGACCAACACTTGGGTCTTGAGATAACTGAAGAGAATGTGCTGCCTTTTCTACACAAATAGTTCGACATTCTAGTCTTCTCGGACAGGGACGATAACTCGTTGGCCCCGTCTCCAACATAGTTAACAGAGAACGTTAAAGAACCCACGCACTTCTTGCAAAGAGTAGTTAATGCAGCTCCCGGTGTTGCGGTCTGGCCTTGTTATCGTTTACACAGGCCCCCATTTAAACCAGCTTTGATCTGAACTGCACCAGCCTGTTTTGATTTTGCAAATAAGTAGATAAATGAATAAAAGTTATTTGTTATGCACTGTTTGTAGTAGGCAAATCGTGTTTTGATTATAAATAGGAAAGGATTGATATTCTCTTCCTCTTCTATTCTTTCTACCAACAATCATTTTTTTACAATGATGATTGTTAAGTGAATTAACATCAATTTTCAGGTTTTGATGGAGAGGGATTTCAGAAACTGGGACTGGCACCTCATTAGTTCAACACTGCAGGTAAGTACAGCAACCATCATGTGAATGATCACTATCAACATCATGATTGCCTTTTTACTTCAAGGTGATAGTTCGTAGTTCATTGCGTTTACAGAGCATATGTAAACACAAGTTTAAAAGAAACCCAGTTACCTACAGTCAGGATGCTGACTGAATAAAGCTTTTTGTAGAGGTTTTGAGAACATCGAAATGATATTAACAACTTGAAAGAAATCTACTTCCATATAATTGTTATAAAAATAATAACGTGGGATTGTAAAAATATTTATAAAAAATCCAATGAAACAAGAGACTTGAATCCAAACTCCATAGGAAATGTGTTGTAAACTTGTTAAATGAACCACAGAATTTGGTTGAAATAAAAACTACGAAACTTGTTAAAATTCCAGACAAAGGGTAACAAATTTGCGCGAACGAAAGCTCACAAAACAACTAACCAAATTCTGTGAAAACAAAACAACAAGTACGCAAAAAATGTCCACGTGAGTTTTCCTATGTCAAGGTCAGAGTTCTTTAACGTGATTGGCTTATTTGCAAAATCACAAACGCTGCGCGTGAATGCAAAAAGAATACAAAGGGGGAAGAGGAAGGAAAAATTGTTACTCGAAATTTTAAAACGAAAGAGATTTTTTAAAATATTTTTGAAACAGTTGTTTCTACCTGCATTCAAAAATGGGATAAAATGAGGGTAACATTGTAAATGGGATACGAGCGGTCCCCTCTTTTCGGTAAAGTCCGTCGTGTAAGTGAAAAAAAAAAAAAAAAAACTGAAAAAATATTTTAATGTTAGCGCACGTTTTCGTTCACCTCACTCCTGGAGTTCCGTGTAGGGCGCTGACATCAATTTTCTTGTTTTTCGCTGTCTTTTTCCTGACGGATTTCGCCGATAAGGAGGGACTGTTCTCTGCCTTCATTGTAAAGCCTTTTTAAGACAAAGTAAAATTTATATTTTTGGGGTGTTTCTGTTGTAGTCTCCAACCGTTACTATGAGGAAATTGGAAGAGACTTCAAACCAGAAGTAAGTTTTCACTAAACAACAACTCCTTTGTTTTGAACCATTCCTGTAACTCGCTACAAAAAAACTATGAATGGCGCTGGTTAAGTCACTGAATTGTGATGGATGTTTTGACTCTTTTTAGCATCACACCATTTCTACTTTTTGGTAAAGACCGTCGCGCGAGTCGAAAAAAAAATCATTAAAAAAATTCAGGTTTCGCACTGCGCAGAATTCTGGGAGTGAAGCACACGCGCCTCGCTCCCAGAGTTCCGCGCCGCGCGTTACTAGTTTTTTTGTCTTTTTTTGTTTGTTTGTTTGTTTGTTTTTTTTTTAAACTCTCGAGATTGACTTCGCCGCAAAGGAATGACTGCTCGTTGTTTATTCCAAATGTTGTCTTACGTTTTTAATATTGATTCTCCTTTTGGCGGAAATATTCATTGAAATCAATCCCTATCAGATGTTCTAACTCACTGCCTTTCCACTTGCAGGTTTATTCGAAACCTTCTGTATTTCTACAAACCTAGTAGTCAGCGGTTCTGCACAGTTCACATATCAGACCCTCAAGCTCGAACATTTTCAGAAGTAGGCTGCCTGCTCATCGACTTCCTCCTCGATGGCGAAGATGTAAGATATAAATTCTGCTCGAAAGGTAGTGGTGTGGGGTTTGAATGAAAAGCATCATTATCTTTGAATCAAGCCAGCCACTATTTGTCCATGTGTCTTTCTGTCTGTTTGTATAAAAGGGGGCAAGTTTCCAAAGAAACTGTGCTGCTGCGTCGGTGGGTGGTATAACAAGATAACTTACTTTTAACAATTGAGTTGATAATTTTCATTTGCCGCCATAAAACAAAGTTTTCTTGTCTCTCTGTATGTTTATCTGTGTGTGGTTTTTTCAGTGGCTGCACTGTGAACTTCACATCTTTTCTTGCAGGTTGCTGAAGGACTTCTTCTCCATGACCTGGTTCAAGATATAGGTGAATGTCTTCAAGAGGTGAGTGCTTTAGTGAGAGTTCTTATGTCTGAGTCCAAGGATACTATGAAAAGGCACAGTGAGCATTTAGCTGACAAATGATTGATAAGTATCTCAGGAAATATATAGAAAATAGTCTGTGAAAACTAATGTTAGGGTGTATTTAGGGTAAAGGTAAAACTTATACAAACTAGGGCTGTTTGATAAACAGTTGTTGCCTTCTCGATAAATTACCAGAAAACCCTAAAGGAAAAAAACGGAAAATATTGCCCTTCTTTCCATCCTTTTGAGACTTTGTCTGTTAATCCTTTAACTCCCGTGAGTGACCAAGACATAATTTCACCTTACTATATTTTTTACAATATCATGCAGACAAGTGACGAGTATAAAGAAAGATATCAATTGTGGATTACTAATTGATCCGATACCAAATTCTCCAAACTAACATGATGAGAATCATTTGGCAGACAGTGAGGAGAATTACTATTGAGATCTTGGGAGTTACAGGGTTAAGTGACTTCCTAAAAAACTGCGAATTGTTAAACTTATTTCTTGAGAGTAAGTAATGCTGTTCAATGATTTGTTCTCCATATAAAGTAATGAAATGAATGGTTAAAAAAAATTACATAATTTCTGCCGCTTACTGCTTTTATCTCTTTTAATTTTCAATGTGTTCTTTTCTCCCTCATGAATTTAGCTAAACATCATGAATAATCAATTAATCCTCTCTATATGCTCTTTCTCAGGTACTTCTTCAACATTCTAAGGTAAAAGCTTAGACAAGGGTCTGTCTATAATGTAAACTGGATCTAAACTTAAACTTATAACTCAAGCACTCTTGAAGATAACATTTGTGCATTTTCTAATGTTAAAGTATTTTAATTAGCAGCCCTAATCAGCTCTTTCTGTCATTTTGGATCACTTGGGGTAAATAGATCACAATTACAGGTGTTGGGATCAAAGTGATATCTTTCTTATCTTAGGCATCTTGAGATATCTTGTCACCGAAGAAAAAAATTGACAAAACGAAAAAATGAACGAAAAAAAAAATCTAAAACAGCAATAACAAATGCACAAACCAATAGGAAAACAATAGAAAAACGAGCTTTCGATTAAATTTTAGCCCAGAATATTTGTGATCACTCATTCGAATCATAACACACAATCATAAACAACCAATTTTGTTCAAAACTAACTTTTCCTCAGGTGCTTCCAAAGAGACAAAAACACGAATGGTCAATCGATATAATGAGGGTAGTAAACAGCCTTCCACGTGTCTCATATCTTTAAAAAAACACTTCAAATCTCTCTTTTGTGCGAGGTTTCAGGGAAATCTTGAGATTTTCACGAAGTGGTAGAAAAAGCATTTCATTTATTAGTGTGAAAGGGAAAACTTCAACTCTCTCTTCTTGTGTGCGAGGTGCCAGGCAAATCTTGAGGTTTTCGCGAAATGTAAGAAAAAAATTCAAGAGTCACGTATATTGTAGGAGGGAAATCACGCCTCACGTTGTTTCATAAATTCACGAATCTCGCTCGCCTGTCTGTAAAGTTCACTCGTCACGGGTTTCTTTTGGCCATAATCACGCGTCGCTTATAAACCTCTTAAACCCTTTACAATCATCCACACTGTTCAATACACTCTAAAACCTCTTTTGTTTTGGTATACTAGATTCTCAAAAGTGGGGCCACCAAGGCTCTTTTATTTGCACATAAAGAGAGAGAATCGTTTCTGAAATTATGGAAAAGGTCTGGACGCTAAAGCTTTTACTTTTGTTCCCAGGCGTTATCTCCAAGCATCACTACCGGAGTCCTAAGTAACAACAATGTTCTGAGCACGCTCAGTAGAGATTACTTCCTGTTCCTTGGCAAACTGGCCGGAACTAAAGTGGGTTCCAAGTTGTTAGAGAGGACTGGAGTCTATCAGTAGTGAGTATATGATTCACGACCTATCGACTTACTTCTCGTGGTATCACTTAATTCTTTCACCCCTAAGAGTGACCAGAGTTTAAATTCTCCTTACAATATCACCCCTGAATCACACATTAAGGTCACGAAAATAAAGGAAATGGTCACCGTAGCTGAGTACATTTGAACAAAAATATCAAACGGTTATATAGCATTTTGCAATCTCATAATGCAGTCTATAATAGCGAAGCTCGCAGGGCGTAGCCCCATAATTATACAAAATAGTAGTAACCACCAAGCCGAAAAAAATTTGGATGTACGACCGTACAAGGTGCTACTTTTAACATGCGTGGTCAACTGTACCGCGGGCACGCCAACTCCACGGCTTTGTCCAGTAGTCCAGAGGTCAGTGCACTGGGCTCCGAGTCGGACGACCCGGGTTCTAGTCCTGGCTGGGGCAAGGCGTTGTGCCCTTGAAACGTGCGGGAAAAAAATGCGAGCTCCGCTTTTAGGCTTGGCTAAATCTATATATTATATCTTAAATTATTAAATTTTCAACTCCGAATATTGCATTTCTAGTGTTCTGATCGGTTTACTTGACTCCTTATATTCTGAGTCACCTTATATCGAAATACATTCCACCAACTGTTACTGAGCTGAGAAAAGCGTTCAGGATTTAATGAAATGTTGTTGGATACGTCACCATCTCATGTCTAACGCTCGCTTATGGAACATTGTTTAGTATACTTTTTCCGGGCGGAGGAAAAGGTCATATGATTTGCGACGCATACATGCCTTGAAGGTGGTACCAGGCTAATTTGGCCGTTTTTTTTGCTCTGTTTTGCAACATTTGGAACGGTTTAAGAATTTAACCAAAATAACCTAAATTTTCAAAGATAATACAGAATTCATCTTAGATTCCGAAAAATGTTAGATTTGTGCTAACGGTTGTGGAAGCTGCTGTGGCGGCCAAGTTGGGAGGAATCAAAAACCTTTCACAATGGAAATGTTACTGGAGATTTCGCATACACTGCCGAACATTTTCACTATAGTGTGTCACTTGATGAAAAAAAAACAAGCATTTACCACTTCAAATGAGCTATCTCGCGTTACATACTTCTTGCTGATTTATTTTTTGTGTTAAATTTTATTCGCTAAGTACTTTTGTTGCATATGTGAAAATTTTCCCAGAGATTTTTGAAACTTAATTAATTATGCCGTCTCCGTTTAGTCTCTTAGAGTTGTGTTCCATACCGTCACGTGACAGTCTACAAAAGCTGATTGTAGCAAGCCTGGATTACAGTCACACTGGAATTCCGAGAATAATCCTGTCGAAAATCTTAACGGCTTCCAGCTCGGTAAGCGGATAGACACTGTTAATTTACACTGCTTGTATAGCGATATAGCAAAGTGAAAGAGTTAAGATATTAATTCTTGCAGAAACTTTTTTTATTTTTTACTCACAAATGAATTATTGTTTTCAGGCCACACGCCTCTACGCAACGAGCCATATGAGGGTTCTATTACGAGCACGTGTTGCGTTCTTCCACAGCTGGGGAATTGAGCTTCTTGTTACACAGGTTCAGTAGAAATGCATTTGACTCCCGATGACTTTTATCTAAGCCCTTTGGCTGCTAAAAGTGACTAGCATCTAATTCTCCCTTCCAATGTCACTCCTGAATCCAACATTTTAATGTAACATTTAAAAAGGGCACGAAAATAGAGGAAATGATTGCCAACCTGAGAAGCTCTTGATTGTTAAACAAATTCTCCTTGTCAGCACCGTAGGGAATGTATAGAGAACAGTATGGAGAATATGCATACTGATGTTAGGGTGTAAAGGGTTTCTTACTTTCATTTTAACAGTTGTACGATACTGATAACCAAGTTGCAGTTGAAGCGGCTGACGTGTTAGATGAAGCTTGTGAAGACGAGGTGAGCTGGAAACGAGTATTATTTGTGGTAGGGGGGGAAGAGGGAAGAGTGAAGAGGGAAGAGTGATCCAAGAATCTTGATACAGACTGTTCTTTTTTGCAGGCTAATCTGCAGTATCTCATAGAACTCAGTCCAGTCCTCCTTCATTTGGGAGAGGTCGGTCATCGTCTTCTAACAAGGTACGTGACTATTTCGTCTTAAGTAAATGGAAACACTTTCTTGGTGTTATTTTTCTCAGTTCGTACGTGCGCTGTGTATTGTTCGATGAAGCGGGCTGTATCTTACTGTACAGACCACTCAATGCAAAGGTTTGTTTGAATTGAAATCTGCCCCCCTCTGTTTGAACCCAGAGCTACAAAAAATATTTCACAAACCTCGTTTTTTCAGTCTGTATTGTAAGTTTCTGAACCTCGTTTTTTTCGCACGGACTTATGACCCGTGCGCTTCGTACAAGCGGGAAAAACTTAGTAAATAACTTACAGTACAGACTTCGAACTCGGTTAGTGAGAGATATGTAAACTGAGCATGAGTGGCGTGTGTGGTCCGCTCCCCTTTTCTTAAGATCTCCGTTCACCCTTTTTACACGCGAGTCAAGAAAACTGGATCTTTCATGCGAATTCAAGGGTTACGGGTGAAATTACCAGAAGTGTTGTGAACCTACACGTTCGAACTTTTCATGTGCTGATTTTATGAAGTCCAGATCCTAAAGTGCGCACTGGCAGAGCTACTATACGATACGTTTACTATATTTAAACACGGTATTTCCATCAGTCAATAAAGATACCAGACTATCTATCTGTTTACCATACTACGATATAAATAATAAAAATATTTCAAAAATAAAACTCCTTTTCATAGAGGCCGTGTCTAAAAATTTACTTGAACTTAAAATATTACTCAAAACTGTGGTGATCTAAATTAGATTTAAAATCGGTCAATGAAGGTGCTTGCCTTAGGTCTTAAGGTTAAAATAACGTGTTGTTGTTACCTTGTGTTGTTTTTGGTTCCGTTTAAACCTATTTCGAACCAACTTAACCACATAATCGATAATTTTATTTCAGATTCGTTTCGGTCGAGAGCGGGTTAAAATATCTTACGCAGAGAGGATACTTGCCAGTATTGATGGACAATTGGAGAAGGGTAAGTTTAGTTTGTATGCATGTATTGAGTCTCCCGTGTTGAAAACGCGTGCCAGCACACTAGCCCAGTGGTTAAAGAAAGGTGTCTACTGATCTTTTCGTCTTTTTACGAGCTTGGGATAAAGAAAAACCTCTGAGTTCCCATGAGGAATCGAACGTCAACGCAGCGGTCAAACGTCTGTACATGTGCGAACGTGGAAATTATTAGTGGCGTGCTTTCAGGCTGTCAGAACCAAGTTGTCTCACACGAGTTATAAACAACAACACAGGCCAGTAAGTCGCTGTGTTTTAAAAGCCTTTAACGTTTTTGGTAAAGCACAAAACAGAATGGAAAATCAACCGGATACCCGTACTTGAATAAGTTTTGTGTTCGAAAAGTCTCGAGTTTTCTTTCCCCCTATTTTTATTAACTTCTTCAGATCTCTGTGAATGTTTTAATCATCTTTCGCTTATTTAGCGTGACGAGGGTCTTTTCTGTCTTGAAATTTTGCGCGGGAAAATGGCGCGCGGGCGGCCAACATCGATCCCTCTCGCGCATGCCCGCTGTGTTTCGAACATCAGACCATCGGATTCAACGGGCTCCGATGGTCTACCGTGTAGCCACAGAGGACTGTGTGGTGAGGGAGGCTGTTGCTAAGTTCGCATGCATATAGTTTTAATTGCTCGGTATTATATTTTCTTTCTTTCTTGTTACGACGTGCAATCGGAAAGCGCTCTTTCATGTTACTTCTCAGCGTTGTACTGTTCATTTGGATTGATGTGAAATGTTTTATGTTGAAGGAATACAATACAGCGTATGTACGCTGGGTCGAAGAACTGCTGGCAGAGTCACTGACATCCTACGTCAAAAAGAGCGACGACAACACGTATTTAAGGAGATCAAACAGAAGGTAATCATTTCAGAACTTGATTTGAAGGTTTGGTTGTCTTTTAGCATACCGGTTTTTGAATCGCGAGCCCAGACCAAGCCGGGCCATTTTCTATTTATTGCCTGGAGGCGAGGGAGGGGGGAGGATAGAGATCACATCGTTTTCAGGGGGAACTAAGGGAGATCAGTCGTTGCCATCAGAGAAAATTGACGTTGTCTCTTTTTAATAGGCTGGTACTAAAAGATGCCTTTTTACCGCCTCATTTGTACGGACAGTTGGTTCAAAAGAAAAACGGCTTTAAACTCCTGCAGAAATCAGTAAGTGTGATTTTCATCTGTTTCTTTTCGAAATAATTGTGGTGTACTAGCTAGTGTGGTTGACTTCGAGTCGAGAGGTCTGGGTTCGAGACCTTGTCGGGTCTGTTCTACGGCAAAACAATGTACTCTCAAAGTGTCTTTGTCCACCCAGGAAGGTTAATAGGAGAGTAAAGGTGAACTGTCAAGGGAACGTGACGAAATGTTGCTGGGGGGGGGGATGGGGGGGCAAAGAAGGGAAGGATCACCAGCATCCCATCCCTGGGAAGTGAATACACTCCTGATCGCTTCTTGAAAATTGGGATAAGCTTCAGTTCTTTAGGGGTGAAAGACTTGCCTTACCTAACCGTTTTCTGGTGAATGTTGTATGTAGCTAAAGGATCTTAGAGCTGAGATCATCTGTTTAAATTTGTATTTAGAATGATGTGGAGCTGTTTGTGCGCACGCTCCAGACTCTGGAACCCAAAACTAAAGAACAAGTGGACGAACTCAAGGCAGCTTTGTGGGCTTTGGTACGTATGTTGTACCCGCTTCAAATACTTTATGAAGTGTTCGTTCAATTGTTGCCATTCAGTGAATATCAGGTGTTTTTTTTTCTCAAGCCTGTTAAACGTGACTGTTGAACTTTCGATTAGCTCCCTCTTTCCAACAATCCCCTCATCTAGAGCTTCAAGTTTGCAGTACGCCCCCCTCCCCCCTTGGTCCTTTTCTCCATGTTCTTACACTTCTTTTGGGTGCGTTGTTGTATACATTTTGAACTATCTCTCCCCCACCCTCCTCTCCCCCATTACAAGTTGCAGGCTTTCATAGAATCGTCTAATTTATTTTGCAGGGTCATGTTGGATCCACAAACTGGGGTATCAACTTTCTTGTAGAAGAAGGAATCATTCCAGAAATTGTTCGTTTGGCCGTAGATTGTGCTAACTTTGCCATACGAGGGTATGTATATTCACGAATTATTACTGTAATTGGTTGTTTTTGGAAAGGTTATACTCAACAGCTGTATCCTTTGGACGATCAGTGAGTGACTTAACTCGTGATTTATTACACCGACTTACCGACTGGAGATAGGTCTGAAGTGAAAAGATCACAAGATTTTAAGTTATTTTTGGAATATTGTTTGACTGGTTGACGGTGAGACAGACTGACTGACCGACTGAACTTCCTAGAGACTTACTGATGTTTTGGTTGACTAACTGACCGACTCTCTGACTACTGACTTTCTGACGCGCAGAATACTGACTTTCTGACTGACTGACTGACTGACTGACTGACTGACTGACTACCTCGCTGACTACTGACTTTCTGACTGCCTGCTTAGTTACTGACCTACTCGCTGACCAACTGATTGATTAGTTGATTGATTGAATGAATGATTGATTGATTGATTGATTTATAGGACATGTTATTACGTCCTCGGCCTGATCGCAAAGACCCGTGAAGGTGCAGACATCCTTCGGGAGTATGAGTGGGAGAGCGTTCGACACATGGGCGAGGATAAGTGGCCAGTACTGGAGACATCACTCGAAAATAAAGAGGAGTTTGTTCCCATTTCTTACATCATGGAACCACAAAGTAAGCCAGTACCATCAGTGCTCTCAGGTATCAGCGAAACAGAACGCGCAGGAGGGATCTACTTAGGAGAAGAAAGCAAAGCTGCAGAAGGGTCCACCGCGTATGATAAATTCAGTGGGATATATCTTGGAGAGGACAAGGGACCTAGCAGAAAGACATCAATCGAGGAAGCTAGTGAGGGTGGGATTTTGTCTCTATGGTACAAAAATGCTGAAAGACGACGCAAGATAGCAAGTCGTGAAAGTGGCTTCTACGACGAGAGAAGCGGGGTGTACCTTGGAGAAGAGTCACCCTCGGTGTCAGAGCCTGCAGATGAAGGCGTAATAACCCCTGCTCCAGGAGGAATCCTGGAGCGACTTTTTACTGAAACTGGGCTTGACTTGTCCTCGGTTAATAAGGAAATTAAAATGTCGCATCGAAGGAATTACAGCGAGGGAAATTTTTCGGTCGCAACTTTCGGCGAGAAAGATTCAACCTTCGAGACATTAGACGTAAAGCGGAGGGCGGTGTCCAATGTCGATCGCATCGGGTCTCCATTGAAGTCTGTCATTGAACATTCTGTTGACGATGTACGTGTGTCTAATGGGGTCGGATTAAGGCCCTTTCATAAACACACTGCCAGCGCCCCTAGTGAGCATGTCCCACAAATGGACGGGACAATGTCAGATGGGAATCGCACTAACCGTGGTTCTGTTTCCGAATCGATTACTTTCTCTGCACTCAAACCAGAAATGAGGAACCGCACAGATAGCGAAGTGACTGATATGTCATCCTTACACATGCGTTCCGGAAGTAACTTGAGTAGTGCGAGTGTGGACAGCGGCGACTTCTTAGAAATGTCTTATATTGCTTCACGCAGCCGCACGAGCAGTGCGAGCGAGACTGGGGGCTACTTACAGCAGGAGAGCCCCACGAGTCAAAGTTTGCTAAGTGTTAATTCAGATGATACCTCTAAGACACTTGGCGATAAAGACCCGCCATTGGACTCCTCGGCGGACAGCCTTCAGGGGGGCCTCTCGTTCGAGTCTCCCTCAGCATACTCCTCGAATGAGCTCCTACGGCGCAGCTCAAGTCCCATAGCAGAAGATCGCAAACGCCTCCCAATCAACGATTTACTACAAAACGATCTCGAGTTGCGGCAGCGGAGCACAAGCCTCACAGAAAAACGGCGCATGGGAAGTCCATCCCTCGGGATTATACCCGAGACCCGTAGCTCCAGTTTTAGCGGGAGCACGGATTTTACTAAGGTGGCGAACAAAAGTCGCGCGAGTTCTGATGCCGAGTTGATCCATGTGTCTCCGGTGGAGAATCTAAACGATTTGCACGGTAGTAACAGAAGCTTGGCTGAAGTAAAGATCTTAAGTGATAAAACCATCGTGTTTCGCTCCGGCGTCGAAAGCAAAACCAGGGCATTGAGTGTAGATAGTGCTAGTTCTAGTGGACTAAGAAGAGACAGACTGTTGGTTAATAGCGGTCAAATGAGTGGAGACGAGTCGGATGGCAATGTCTCGCGCAGCCGAGGCAGTTCCTTTGAGAAGGCGGATTTTGCTAGGAAACTGGGGCTTAAATCTGGGGACTTATCACGCGTTCGGCGCACGCGCAGCACTAGCAGTGGAAATTCGTCAACTGAGGGATTTTCGCCGAAAAAGATTGTGAATAAAAATCGTTTACTCGGCTCAAATGAAAACAACACCGTGATTTCTGGGGACATGCGACGGAACTCATCTGCCAGTTCAGAGGCCTCACTTTTCACGAGCTCTCGTGACGCGTTTGGTTACACGGCACTGAGCACATTACGACGTCAGAGAAGCTTTAATCGTGACCTGGAGAAGAAAGTCAATGCTTTTGGCACCACCAGAACAGGGTGAATTTGTTTAACTTTTTTGGCCAAACTTTAGCAACTACCGGTTTTAATGTATCTAATCTCAGTTAATCAGCCTGATTATTAAGTTTTTTTGGTCACGCAATATTTTGTCAATCCTATTACGTGACGAGCGAGGCCTAGGCCTTTATAGTTTCCTTTTTAAGTAGTGAAAATATCGTGTACTTATTGACTGAGTGGGAGGGCCTGACGGGAACATATTAGGCTCGAGGTCATGACGTACAGACCGAACGCAGCAAGGTCCGTGCGCCATGCATGAGAGCCAAATATTTTTCCGTTCGACCCTCCTACTCAGTCAATAAGCGTTATATTATACGACCACTTACTAAGTAGGACGCGACAGACTAGTGCGCGCGGGAACCAACAATAAAAAACAATAAAAACTTTTCCTTCATATTTTTTCGTCAGAACAAGAAACTCACAATTCATCGAAATCGTGGCTTATTTTCTCATTTTTCTTCACTGCTGTCACTCATTTGCAGCAACAGCGAACATTTTTTTTTCTCTACAACAAAGATGTACAAGCGCGCGAGCGCCGGACGGTTTTTTCCGGACCGGCTCACATCAACCCGTTCGGCTCTGCACACGTCAGCAGGGCCGGACGGTGCATATGATAAATACCACTCGCAAACCAAGGTCGAGGTCCATACTTTAAGTTACGGACCGAGTTTTTTCTGCTCAGATTTTTGCGGAAAAAGCGAAGTTCTGTAACCTACAGTACGGATCAAGCAACGAGATTAGTAAGATAGTTTTTGTATCTCCGGGTACAAAAAGAGGGGCAAGATTTCAATTCAAACAAATGTTTTCAATTGAACGGGCTGCAGAGTGAAATAAGGCCTGTTAAATTGACCAATCATAGCGTACGTACTGACCGAGAAATGTGATAAATAATAGTTTTGTCTACAATAGATTTTATTGCCTTAATGATTTGTTTGTTTTTCTCCGCAGCACTTTCCAGTTTCCGCGTTCCATGTCTGCCGGGGAATTCTCTTCCACCAAGCGCGACAGTTTAGCTAGCATTCCCAGCGCCTTAGAGTTCCGACAGTTCAAATCTACGAACAAGAATATCGGAAATGAATTCCTTGGTCTCTGTCTTCCTCGTGATTTGAGCTTGCTCTTCCAGGTGAGTGAAAAGAAATAGAATTTTAAAAAAAGAACAAAGAGTGTTACTGTCGTCAATATCGGTAAAATACTGGACTGCGAAAGTTTTAATGTCATTCCTCTGAAATTTTTGTCAAACTTTACCTATTGGTTTTTTCTCTTAGAAGA